CCAGGATGGCTTCGTGGGCCACATGAAACCACTTCACGGGCTGCATCCAGCCCCCGGGCCTTGTGTTTGACATGTCTGCTCTATGATTTGTAATTCACCCGAATGGGCCAAGTTAACCAACTACAGTATTGTTAAATTATATATAACACTGTTGAGCTATATAGGTGGTATTATACACTTTACAGTAGTATTATTTGCTAATCTATCAGAATTCTGTTCCAAGGTAACCATCTCATTTAGAGATAGGAAATGTTGGTCCATAAATACTGTCACCTATATATGAGATGCAATAAATCCACTTGGTATATATTTTGCACTTTTCTGTCTACTCCTTGCTATTATTCTAACATGCTTTTGCACGTAGCACTTTTGAAGAGTTCTGTTCATTACATTTTGGGAGGGCTTACGAAGTTGTGTAAATATATAGTCAGTCAGCCAGCACAAACTTTTAATCTATGGTTTCGATATCTTTTTCAGAGAACATATATAGATCAAATTGTGTGTCTTTGTGTTACCAACAGTATAACAACACAAATCCCTTGATCTGAAAATTAAGCATTAAAGTCCAACGAACAGTTGATAGCCATCAAAGCAATAAGGGTCCTATTTATGTGATGCTGCTGTGGACCTGGAGAGAAAAGTACACACACACACACACACACACACACACACATCATGGACAGAACTCTTGAGAAGTGCTAAGTGGAGGTGCTCATTAGAATGATAACAAGCGTTCATTCCATCATAAATGGTAGTCTGAAGCCATACTGAATTTTGTACCGTATTCCTCAGCGCTGTTTAGACTTGTTCATCCCAGTTTTTCTGTTGGGACCTGGAGGAGATTGCCCAAGCTGAGCCAACAGGATTGAACCCTAGCAACAACTGAAAATAAAATGCCTTCCAACAGAGCAAGTTATTTGGAAAGCTGTGTCGATTACAAATCGTGCAACTTGCAAAACGTTGTGTGCTTTCTAAGACAGATGGGATTATTTCCTGATTGTCCAGTTATCCTGGAATAACTTGAGTTCCATCTAGGTAGATCTCACTTGCAAGTGTGTGTATATGAGAAAGTGAGAACATATAGAGCTGATAGTGCAAATATGCTATAACAGTATATTTCACAATGTTTCACTGCGAAATAAAATCATGGCCAGCTGGTTTAGAAAGAATATAGTAACCCCACTGTCCTAAAAAGGTTTTAGGGCCACTTTGGAGACATTTGATTTCATTTGTGCTTGAGAGGATGGAGTTGAAATCAGACTGAAGTTAAGAACATATTAACAACTCTCCTGGATCGGAGCAGTGCCTTGTTTTTAATAATGACCTCTCAGATGCCTCATGGAAGGAAGACAACAGGATACAGTAAATGCATAGAGCCAGTGCCAGAATTTCTGCCTAGTAAGGTGTTAGACAGACCTTCATAGTCTAATACTGAGGTCCTTGTTCTTCAGCGTCTCCTCTATCTTTGACTGCCTGATCCTTTAATGCAGTGGTTCTCAACCTTTTTAATGCCGTGACCCCCAGCCGGTCGTAAGTCGAGGACTAAACTGGTCGTAAGTCAAGGATTACCCAACCGGTCGTAAGTCAAGGACTTTCCCTGCCCGGGAGCGCCACACATGCGTGGTGCTGCCCCCTGCGCTGGCCGAGGTGTAGCTGGCAAGCGGCAGAGACGGCGCAGGCCGACCACCAGGTGGGCCACCAGCTGGCCCAGCCCAAGGGAGGTAAGGCACCCGCCGGAAAAGGGGAAAAAATGGCGGACAGCCTTGCTTGGCGACCCCCGTGAAATGGTCGATCGACCCCAAATGGGGTCACGACCCATAGGATAAGAACCGCTGCTTTAATGGAAGATAATAGAGATCTGTGGCTTTCTGCATGCAAAGCAGATGATCTTCTCTCCCAAAGATAAATAGTGCAACTTTTTCCCACCCAAGAAGACTTAATTTCTGCAATTCAGAGACCAACTGCCAAGCGATCCATCCGAAAGATAGCAAGAAAGAGAGGTCTATCAAGATAAACCACCTTTGCTAAAAAGAGGTAGGATACTTAGCATAAGCATCTGCCCAGTTTAGGATTATAGTTTGTATTACACAGCAAGAGGAGGGTTCAAGTACTATAATTTAACTGTTATGCAGACAATTGTGATCTATTCAATAAAGCTCAGTTCAGTAAACTACAGCTTAATACTTTGAACCTGCGTTTTGCAATGTGGCTTGGTTCCAAAAAAGAAAATGATGGATCTTCTTCCTACCCTCCACCCCCACTAACTCTGAAGCATATTAGTAGTAAACATTTGCTATGTCAACAATTTTGCATCTCTCCAGAGATTAGAAGGGATGACTGTGAAAACAGGCAGAGATGGCGCATGGGAAATCAATCTGGGAGCAAGCTGTTTGGCCTGGAGGAGAGCTCCAGTTTGCATACCTGACAGTAACTAAAGCAACTCAGTCTCTGTTTATGTGAAAGAGGAGCAGAGATAATCCTCTCAATGAGCAATTGTTCCAGGCCAAGGAGCACATGAAGTGGCCTTTTGTCATTAGTGTTTCCTGTTGTTATGCAGCAGGCAGGAGTCTGTGTATCTTGACTGGTAGCCAACAACAAAGAGAAGATGCCAAGCACAAAACAGTGTGTAGTTGCTTGCCATTATTTTTAAGGCAGAAAGGAGATTGCAAAGTCATACATTAACAAAAACATTCTGTGTCCTGGAGAAACCAGGATCTGGTTCTATCTGCTTTTTGATCCCATGGCTTACTCCTAAAATTAATCAATGAACAATGCCCTGTTTCATATACCATGGTAAGCTGGACTTTAATTGCAGTTTAACAAATTAAGTCAAAATTGGATAAATTTACCCAGCAAAATTCAAGCCTAAACTCTGCTTGACAAACAAAAAATTGATACAAGCAAACTACTTTATAGCTCATCTTAAGCCTGGCAATTTTTCTGTGTGAGCTGAGCAACAGTGCCTGTTTTTCATGGAGAGGAATCCAGGTTTAGACTTCAGTGGTATTTTATTTTTGTTTTGAAATGAGTGAATAACCAAGGATATTGCACCAAAGCACACCGTGTTTAAAACTATTGTAAGCCAGACTGTTTGGTTTCAGACATCACACTAGGCCTAAAGCCTAATTTCCAAATCAGGATAGATTTATACAATTCATAAAGGAAACAAGCAAAAAATAAAGAACTTACTCTATTGTATGAACCAGGTTGGAGTCTAAAAAGCAGACTGCATTCATACTACATCATAATAGTTTGCTTGGTTTTGACTAATTCAACAGGAATCAGATTTAGTCTTTGGTAAATTTTCTTTTTCTGAGTCCAGGTAAGCACAGTTTAAAAAACTACATCAACATCCCAAACTCTCTTCCCCTGATATTAACTACAACTTTCCTTAAAGTTATATTAATATTCTTCCTTTGTAATCACCTCCATCTCAGGTGCCATTAAGTTTTCAATCATTAATAATTCTAACTGTTTACCAAAGAGAATGTAGGCAGCAATAAGCACTACCATCTGGGTTCACACTCATAAAAAAACATGGTTTTCTGAGTACATCTCCATTGGCTGGGAAGTTTAAGGGGCTTAACTGAGATGGGGGAAAGGTAGGGTTTTTTTTATAGAATCTTCTAAAAATCTAAGGCATGCATTTAACTTTTATAAATCCACTTCCCTAAACATGGAATCCATTTTTTTCTGGTTGACTTTACTCCAGGGATTTGGGAAACCACAAAGTGAGAGCTGCAAGGAATTTTACTAAGCAACAACAGACTGGTTTTACACATATTAAACTATATAAACCAAAGGTTGCAACTACAGTGGTGGAGTTTTCACTACATTAATTAGTTTGATTTTGGATGACCTTTAGGGCACATCCATTAAGGTTTTGGCAACATAATGGAAGTAATTTGCTATGACTTTCTCCCAGGATTTTTTTTTCTAATTTCCCAGTCATGTCCTGTTAGTTTTTTGTGGTTTCTCATCCAATAATTAATCAAGTTTGATTTTTTAAAGATTAGGCATAGTGCCAAAGCTGTTTACTCTGAGCACAAATGCCTCCAAAAATCCAATCAATTACTTAATAGCAATATTTCCATCTGGAAAGATCAAGGATTTTGGTCATTATCAGAAGACACCAGAAGCTAGATTTTTAAGCAAGTCACTAAGATTGTGGTAGCAATCATGGAAAGCATCAGTAATCTGATACGTTATGATCAAACAGACACAGGTGAAGATAAGTTTCCTAAGCTGCCATTCAACAGGTATATTCAACTGCAACTTTTAGAGCTTCCAGGCCGATCTCGACACATTAGGGAACCTAAGGCTGACCTTAGTTTATACTGATTGCTTCAGTTTCCTATTCTCATTTAAAATAGCAGTAACATCTGTGGTTTACATGTACAACCACTTAACTCAGGTTTAATTGCCCCAAATGCTTCTTTATGAGCTGCGCAAAGTCAGAATATACTCGGGGCACCTATCCCGAAGTTTCCTACACCAGTCTTTCCCACTTGGTTCTCCCCAGATATTAAGGATTTTACCCCCACCACACTATGGGAATTGTAGTCCATCTGGAAGTCTGAATAGCTTCCCTACTTATAAGTATTTTCCAGGGCATCTACACCTTCTTCTGCACTTACCAAGTATTTTAGCTTGTGGCTTGTTTAGATTTGGTTTAGTCTATTGAACCCAACAATGGTGCTTTATAGCTACCATTTTGTACAAACCCACCCTATGGCTTGTTAAAATTAAGATTAAACAAAGCATGGTTTAAACCACGTGCAAAACCAGGCTTATCTCAGAGGCAATTGAAAAGGAGACTGAAAAAGGCGGAAGGATTTGAGGATGTCAAGTACTTACCGAAATAGCAGGCATCTGGGAGGATGAGACAGAGCAATTTAAAAAGTATAACATGTTAGACCTTTCGCCCATACTTAATTGCAAGTTCAGGAATATTTTCTTACATAGATATTTTAATTAAGACACAAACCCAAGGAAGGATCTTAAATTTGAGGGTTTAGCTTTTATTTGGAGAAAAACAAAATCATCTGTACATTTTCACTTCATTAATCAACAGATGTGTGCCTGCAAACAGAAGGATCCTTAGCAAATCTCCACTCTACTGAACTTTCTGAATTTGAAAATAAAAATAAAATTGCTATCCACATCATTTTTTGAGAAACAAAATCAAAACTTAAAAAAAAAAATCAAGCCCCCAGAAGCAACAAGCCATTTTTTCATTCAAACAAAATATTCTTGCTCTTTAATTAGAGATAACAAAAATTATGGAGGGACATGCACTTCAGTGTCTTGTTTAGCCCTTCTCAGTGATTTCAGAAGGTAACATTGAGCCCTTCCAAATAAATAGAAATACAACAAAGGTTTCTTTTTCCCTTTGAAAAATTAAAAATATACACAATTACATGGTTATTTTATTTGGTTTCAAGAGGCAGAAAAAGCTAGAGAGCAGCTTATAGCTCATGTTTGTAGCAGCCTATCAAGAAATGCTAATCAGTTGGTCTTCCCCATCAGAAGTGACCTAACCTTGAAGATTTGTCATTTGAACACATGTGCCAGCTATCTCCCAGAAACTCCTGCCAGCTTAATACAAAACAAAGGAATGCAATTACAAGAGGGGAAAAAAGAACAGAACCAAAAACCCCAACCTGAGGCCAGTGTTATTTTCAAGTAAAAAAAAGGAGAGATGGTTGCAGACTTCACAGTACTGAAGGGCAATAAGGCAGGAGAAACAGTGAAGAGTATCTCCCAGCCATTCATGTTTCAGGAAAAAGGTTAAAAATCCATTATCACTACCCCTGAAGGAAAGGGGTTTATGGAAACAGCTTGTTCTGCATCAGAGAAGGATACAGCAGAACAGTTCTCAGCCTCTTTGAAACCCACCCCTCTTATTGTTTGTAGTCCAAATGCAGAATAGTTTTGAAGGGACAGGCTTTCTTTCCTGAATGGCTGAAGTTCTACAACTGTTATTCATTTCCCATCTGCAGAAGCCTTTCAACCACCCTCTCTGCAAGAACAGCACAAGAAAAAGCCATTCTCTCCCTTGTGAGAAGCAGCAAGGCAGTGCAAGGGGAGGAAAAAAGTAAAAAAAAAAGCCTCTGGTGATTGTCTTTATTGTTTTTCAAGCAACTGGCAAAGATAATCTGGGCAACGTATCTACAGGAGAAAATGAGAATGCTGGAGGCAGGCGTGTATCACAATCAGGCCACAAGAAAAACAGGCCTGTTTCCCAGGCAGAGCTGCTCAGCAGCTGATTGCGCTGGGCTGCTGTTTGTTAACGAAGTCTGAGAAGAAGTCAAACTCATTCTGTCCCAGAAAAAGTTCTGGCAGCTCCTGAATGCGGTCCAAGCCCAGCTCCATAACCAAAGAAGTCAAGACCTCCTCATCAATAAGATCCGTGTCCATAACATTCAAGGTCAAAGCAGGGGAGGGCAGATGCTGCATGCCCGAGTGCTGTCCCGGGCCCATCCTGTATTGCTGTGCACCTGGTCCAACAGGGCCAGCAGTCATGCCTAGGAGAGGATGGCCCTGATATTGTGTGTTGAGTTTCTGCAAGTGCATACTTGCCATAAGTTGCTGGGTACCCACAGGTCCCATGTACTGTTGCGGTTGACTTGGATTGTTGAACATCACTGTGTTTGGCATCTGGTGGTGACCCATCTGTCCGTTAATGCTTGGCCTTTGCCTCATTCCTCCATCCATAGCAGGGCCTCCATACTGCATCATCTGATGGTTGGGAGGAAGCGTCCTTAGCACATGCTGCTGTCCGTGTTGCGGTGGGGCTTGCATCCCATTCATGCCTATCCGGTAGTTCTGCATCCCATTCATGCCATGGCTCATTGACATCATCATGTGATCAGCCATCACAAACAGGGCACTGCAAGACAAAGAGTTCAGGTTAGAAGGTTGGCTTAATAACTCACTGCTATGAATTCTAAAGGCTCTGCTGGTAGCAATTGGGCTTTGGAAGTCAAAGAAAGAAGGAATGATTCAGCTCCCTTGCTGACATTCTAACTAGTTGATCAGGTTATTTTTCAGATGGGAAAACAGCTGTCCTCAATGCCAATATATCAAAGACAACACCAGTGCAATGTGACCTTCCAATGAGGAATGTCACAATGTCAGCCTCATCATAGGAGTCAAACCAAAAGCTCCACAGGAAGATCAGAGCTACATTTTAGTCTGATAATTTTATTGAGATAGATATCAGACTCTTGAAAGTCTGATTGTGCGGTACCTTAACTCTAGCAATTTCTTAATATCGCTTCCCAGCACTCAAAGAATGCATCAGCACCTTTTGTCAAGGTCATGGCTGGCTCATGAATTCTGGGAGTTGACGTCCACGAGGAGCCAAGGTTGCCTACACCCATCTAGACAAGCTATCCTGCATAGTCCATTTATTTGATATTGTCTACTACCCCTGCTTAACTTGACATCTTCCAGACACGTTGAGGTTGCACGTCGCTAAATTCTATACACGTTTGATAACCACTACATCATAGGAGCAAGACTGAGAGGCATTTCCCAAGTACTTTAGACTGAATTCCTCCCTAACTCTATTCAGAGATTTGATCTAAGAGTCTTAACATAAAAATACCTATGCCACTACCAAGCTAAAGACTCCTGGAAACCTTTTCTTGCTATTTTTTCTAGAAATTCAAGGGACCACAAAGTGTCTGCCCAACTGGCCCCAAATTATTCAGTGGACTTTACAGCTGAGTTAGATTTAAAAATCTTTGCTTCTGAATCTATCGATTAAGATTGGGGGACTGAAAGCCGAAAAGTAACTGCAGCTCTGGACAGCTGCAGAAGTTTCTCCAAGCAATGGGCCAGAGCTAATTCAATGAAGCAAAGAGAGGCACGCATACATATAATTCCAGCCTTTCTTGTCCACAGTGGCAGCAGATGGTAGGGACTCCTCCCTGCCCCCTCAGTCCATGTGGCAGAGAGAAAACTGGAGTAGGAAATTACAATGAGACTTATAGTCCAATGTTTTAGCTCAAAGAAGACATTCAGGGCTCAACATCCCACTTTCCACAGGGCATGAATGATTTTGAGAAGCCCTTAGAATAACTTGCATCCCATTACTATTCCCCTTTCAGACATTTAATTTGGAGAAATACTGCTTTTGAGCAGAGGCATCACACAATCCGAACAGCAAACCACATTTTGATCTAAAGTGCTAGCTGAACTCAGAAAACCAGGTGAGTAACTATGATTCAGTTAACTGGGAATAAATGCATCAGGCAAAAGTACTATAGAAATGACATCAATTTACCATGGAGTGTCCTTCAATTAATCTGTCAGTTAGTCTTCACAATGGTTACTATTAGGTATTATGTTCTCATACAGGTTCTTATACTAATCCATTTCTGGGTTTGCATCATATAGTACATTAACAGCTGGTAGAAGATGCTACAGCCCCCTCTCTGCCCCAAGTCAAGATTAAAATTAATCATAGTGCACTGCTGCATTTAATTCCAAATTGTTTTTAAATCATCTGTACCAGCATGTTGCTGATTAAATCTGTAGCCGTAAACACTTCTCCTGCCCCAAAGTGGGTACAATTTTCAAGCTGGCTAAGAGCAACCATGACCCACTGTGTGTGTGTGTGTGTGTGTGTGTGAGTGAGAGAGAGAGGGGGGGAGGGAGGGAGAGGTGCCTTCCAGCGTCTTGAGTCTACTTTTATATAATATTTACACAATACACTTAAGTTGCAAAGTGATTTGCTCAGACTCAGCAAATGGGGTGAACCACACTGAGCATACTCAGTGAACCATGCAGGACCTTCTCTATTTTTGTCATGACTCTTATGGAAATCATTGCACTTATTCCTTCACGGAGTATTAGCTGTAAAGACAGCAGCAACTTGTTTGCTGGCCCTCTTTTGAGCTTAAGCCGACCAGACATTTAAAAAGGCGTGTTCATCCAACAATGATTCGATAAAAGTTTGGCATTTAATTTCCTTGGTGATTTTGTGATGCCCCCTAGAGGCAGGGCAGGGTGCTGCCGGGGGCGGCGGCGATTGCCGTTCGTAGCAGCTGAAATGAACATTCAGCCAGGCGCTCAAGGCTGGAGAGTTCGGCTCCGCTTTCGTTTCCTCCGCCGCCCCCCTTGGCGGTTCCTTCCCCTCTCTTCTCAGCCTGCCACAAACAAGCGAGCCCCAATCCGCACATCTAATTGATACATGCAGTGGCTCCTTTGTAAAAATACCAACGAAACTGCAAGTCAGGGACGTATTTCGCGTTCGCGTTTCTCCCGGCCAGCACTTCCCCCTAGACCCAGCTTCTCCGAACAGGGTGGCGGCGCTTTGGTGCTCCGAGCGCCCTTCTCCTGGTTCTACCCCTTCGGCAACCGCCACCCCTTCCCCCTTCCCTCCGCCCCGGTGAGGTAGCTCCCGCTCCGGCACATTCCGCCAGCACAAAGATCAGCACTTCGCGAACACGCGTTTAACCCTTCCCTCCCGGCGCCCGAGTCAGACAATGCAGCCTGCCTGCCGAGTGCTCGGTGCAAATCTGAGAGGCCGGCAGGGCGAGAGAGACCGTCACCGTCGCCGATTCTTAGGCAAAGGCTTCCCCGGCCATGTCATTTCTGGCGCGCGGTTTAGCCCAAAGACGCCCCCTCGGGAACGTACCCCAAAGGTGGCGATTCGAAGGGGGGGGGGCTGCACAAGGCGCGAAGCAGGAGTCCGCTCGACGGAACAAAAGCAGCCCTGGCTGCGGCGTCCGCTCCGCTCTCTGCCTTCTCACGCTTCTCTGCCGCTCGCCCTCGAGTTGGCCGGCCTGTCCGCTGTTTGCAAAGGCGTCCCCAACTCCGGACGCATCAATCCCGACCGGCCGCCCCTTCCCCACACAAGCCTCCACAATTCCTCAGTGTATCTCACCAGTAGGGTAAACTTCAGCTCTCCTTATATAGCCAGGCAAGGAGGGCGGAGAGTTTAGCCGCGCCCCCTCCATTTCTAATTGGTAAGAGGTCTTCCGAAAGCGTCCTCCCCCCCACCGCGGAACGAGGGAATTCGGGCCCAATGTGAAGTCTCGGGGTCCCGCCCACCTGTTTTTCTTTCGTAGCCGAAGATAGAGACTTGTAACGCGACGGCCGGGTCTGCCGCAGGTTGACACCACTTCTTCTCCAACCGACTTTCCTTCCTTCCTTCCTTCCTTCCTTCCTTCCTTCCTTCCTCGTGTGCGCCTCCTCCATCTGTATGCAAACAAACGAGGGCAAGATTTAGCCCCCTTTTCTCCTCTGCCACCGATTGGTGGAAGGAGAGGCGTTCTCCAGAGGAGGCGCGCCTGCTGATGTTCCTATCTCTACGGGGCTCCTTGGGGTGGGGGTGATGGAGAGGGATGGGGGCGCCGAACCACTTTTCCCACCGGGAATCCTCGCGGGCGGTTGGCTTTCGGCGCCCATCATCCTGTAACTGGCGAGAAGATAGGTGCCCCTAATACCCCCGTTTTCCTTGTTCTCCAAATATTCCACGTGTCTGTAATGATACTGGAAGTTTGTTTAGGAATCCTGATTGACTTGAGCATTTCAGGGGCATGCATACATACAGATGATTTTTTTTATTCTTGCATATTTATACTCTCCCTCTTTTATTTTAAGAGAAAAGTCTCAGATATAGGCCTTTTTGCTCTTCTTGTCCCTAGTAAAGAATCTTGCTGGATCAAAACACCAGGCACCATATATTTCTGAGGGAAGCTTGCAAACCAGGCAACACTTGGCCATGTTGCTAGACCTCAGCATCTGCTTTTCAGTGGTAGATAGCCCTTCTATACTGAGACTTTGTTAATCATTGATAGAGCTGTCTATAGTCTTTTAAATGTATTTGGTTTCATAGTTGCTTTCTTTTTTTAAAAAAAAATCTTATATTACCATTTTCATTGTCATATCTGGTACCCTGTTATAATAGAGAATCAGTGTAAAAGTCAGACTTTTACAAAAATTAAATTTTAAAGTTCATTTTTTAAAAAAGAAAAGCTTTCTAGATTAGACCACCTAGAGTCCCTCTTTGAGAGAGATAGGTGGTTCAAAAATGTGAAAAATGAATACATAGAAAATCTGCCTCACCTGGAGGATGAAGACTTTGCTGCTTGAAGCTGTTCTTGTAAATCTTCCAGTCTGAGCTACCATCATCAATGGCCACAAAGGTTGGAGGAACTTTTGGACACCCAAAGGCAGGATGAGAAGCTTATAACTTTCCCCTAGTGTTGATTTGACCCTCCAGAGCTGCTTGTGCATAGAGAAGTTTTTACAACCTTGTCCCAGGGGCAGAAAACATGTTTTGCTGTGCAACTGAGATCTGTGCAGAGAAGATGAGGGCAGTCTGTATGAGGAAAATGAAATAGTGGAGTACATTAGAGGAGCAAAAGTAAAGAAGTGTTTTGGGGTAATTGAAAGTTTAGCCCATTTGACACAAGCAGGCTGTGGAATGCAAATTACAGTCTTTTATCAGATCATGAAGTGTTATCTTCAGCAACAGAGACAGTAGAAGGGAGAGACTGAGGCCAAAGGCAAATGAAAAGGAAAGATCAAGCAAATCAGACCAGTGTTTTTCAAACTTGGCAACTTTAAGATAACGTGGACCTCAATTCTCAGAAGTCCTCAGCCAGCAAAATTCTGCCAGTTGAAGACCACACATCTTAAAGTTGCCAAAATACTGAATTAGACCTTGAAAAAATGTTCAGTATTAACTCTCTACCTTGTCGTTAATAACAACATTCAATTATTGAGCAATGCTGAATTAATTGTCATAGAGAATAGAGAATCATTATCACTATTGAGGCACAAATGAATGGAACTTCTGGAGAAAACTTAAGGATGGTTACTTATACAAGAATTCACTAATCTCCCATCAGGGATGCTACATATGAATAAGGGTGGGTCCTATGTAAGTGCACATTAACTCAGTATTGTTGATCCACTAACTGTGTGATCCACTAACAAGGATTGGGGTGCTTACTTTAGATATATTTAAGGTCTAATTGAATTCTCAGTTTGCGATTCTTATCTGTCCCATTACTTCCTAGTTAGCAATCTACCATGCTACTGAGGATACAGTTATAATGCACTGCTTCCAAGGGATTCTACACACCCACAACCAAATTGCACATCAATTTTCTCTAATCCTCATTGCTCATGCCAGCTAGGAAACCATTTATGTTATGATTTGGGAAGGATAATTTATGTCTTTGGTTAGTTTCTTTTTTTTTTTTAAGTACTATACAAGAAGGCTCCTTGGTTTTGTTACAACCTGGGCCATTCTTCTCTAATTTGCTGAATCCTGGACATTTTGGATTGCAATTCCCACCATCCTTGACTCTCGGTCATGTTGGCTGGGGCTCAGGAGAGTTGTAACTGAAAACATTTGGAAGGTAGCAAAAGAGGAAAGGCTGATTTAAATATCCCAATCACTCTCTGGACATTTTGAATTGGAGAAGACTGTCCTTTCAAAGTAGCTCAAAGGGGTGATAACCTCTGAAGCTATTTTCCTCCTTTTGAGGCTCAAGTCAAAAAGCTACAAATTGTAGAATAAATATTCCCTTTAAAGAGTGAGAATATAATCAAAAATATCCCCACTCATTCATTTTAGGGAAGGATGCACGGGGAAAGCCATATGCAAATATTCTAAGAAATTCTCCATCATTCTTATATTGCAGGAGAAAAGGGGGAACTGTTTTGTCAAAGGAAGGAAAAACTGAAATAGACCACTCCCAAGTTAATGCAACCGATGCAAAGGGGGCCTGGTGAAGCAAAAATAACTCTTTTGTTCCTCTTTCCTATGCTAACCCTTAAACAAAAAAAGGACATGACATAGAGGCTTCCCCAGAGTAGATCATTTCTGATCTCAGCTTGTCATCTGTCATTGAGCTCTTTACATCATTGAACTCTCTATATTGAATTCTATACATCAGACATGTCAAACCCAAGGCCCGGGGGCCGGATGTGGCCTGCCAAATGGTTTCATGTGGCCTGCGAAGCCATCCTGGAAACAGTGAGAGAACGGCCCCCACTGCCTTGGCCCTGGCCCAGGCCAGCCGGGAGCCAATGTACAATTTTGTGGTGGCCATCTATGCTGAAACACATTCAGTCTTAGCTCCACAAGGCCGCCTGGAAACAGTGAGGAACCAGCCCCTGCCGCGTCGGCCCCGCCCCCTGGGTGCATGCTGGGAGGTGTCACCCTTTGTGAGGAATGAAGAAATGCACCATGCCTTGGCGCTTGCTCTGCTCCCACCCCCCTTCTGCCAGAGACCCTCAGATCTGTCCCACTTCTGCCCAGACTCCCACAGCCACCTTTGACGCGAACGATGTAGAGCTGGCCATTCTCACCCAGTAGGCCACACCCACTCCACCCATACCCACCCAGTAGGCCACGCCCACCCTGGCCACACCCACTGACCCCCCCCCCGAAGGCAACCACAATGCTGATGCAGCCCCCAATGAAATTGAGTTTCACACCCCTGCTATACATTAACCAATGACTTAACAAACAGTAGTCCAAAATTACGATGGCCTTGGGAAAAGTGAGTTATGACTGCCACACCACTCTTGTGCTCAGGTGATTCCTTTTTCTGGCGCTTGGCAACTGGCTCACATTTATGACCAGATGTAGTGACTGCAATCATGTGATCACAAATTGTGACCTTTTTTTCCCCAATTTCTGGAAAAAAAACACCCACTAGGGAAGACAGATTTACTTAATGACTATATGATTCACAATGATTGCTGATATAAAATTGAGTCCAACTTGACTTACAACTACAAGGACGATGGAAATCCCAGTCCCAGTTGCAGTTGGGAACACAACAGTCAATCTTGGGTAAACCTGATGCCATCCTTGGGCAATTCACAAAGCTCTGCTTGAACATGTTGGGCCTCCTGATTGGCATCTGGGTGCTGTCTCATGAAACTCCAAAGAACCTCCTCTCCACCACTGTCTGGCGGGGGCTCACCCTTCAGCTGAGAGCTGTCCTTTGCTCCTGCTAAATTTTGCTTTGGATGGCCTTGTGAAGCAAAATTTGATCTGAGCTCTGTGGACCTCAAGAGAGCCGGTAAATGAGGAAAAATAAGGACGGGGGGGGGGGGGATTTGTGCAATGCAATTCTAAATTTTAAATGCAATGCAATTTAAAGGCAGGCCTGATGATAATGAAACGGAGCACATTGGATAAAAACATATCATAGTGAGCCTGGATCGTTAGGCTGTAATGCCTGCTACTGTAGTACTTAGGGAATACTTGCTTATGGAAACTCACCAGAAAACAAGTATCACAATGCCATGTAAACAGAATGAGGCTTTGCTCTGAAGATTGCTGCTTGTTGATTCTCAACCTGAGGGCTATTCACATGTAATGTCATGGATGTGTGAAGTGTCCAGGGATGCTTTTGATCCAGCTTGAATGATATATAGCAGTGATTCTCAACCTTTTCTTCATCACAGACTCCCTTTAAATACCTTTTGTGGCCATGGACCACAGAGATTTAACTCAAGATTTAAATCAGAATATTTCTTCAAGCGTTTGTGGACCTCAGGGGTCTGCAGACCACAGGTTGGAAACCACTATTACATAGAATGGACCACAGCAGCCAGTGGGGATTTGTTTTGTCAGATCCAGGCAATCTCATTGGCTTAGCATTAAATGCAACCAAATCTCAATTAAGTCAAAAAGGTTCTTCATTTGGGTGGGGACATGCAGGGGTGGGGTGGGGGTGGGAGGGGATTTTTCTGCTGCTTCTTAACAGGACCCCCTGTGCTAGGAAGACTTTTTGCTGGAAATCAAATTAGTCTTCTGATTCAAGGGCATCCATTGGGAAAGTCAAAAAGTCAAAATGGCATCTACAGCGCATATATATATATATATATATATATATATATATATATATATATATATATATA